TTTTTTTTTTTTTTTTTTTGGCACAGGAAATCAAACTCATGACCTCAGGCTTGCCAGGCAAGCGCTTATGCCTCTGAGCTATATCCCGGTCCCTGGTCTCGAACTCTCAATGATCCTCCTGCTTCAGCCTCCCGAGTGCTGGGATTACAGGCACGCGCCACCACGCCCGAATGCCTATTGCACACAAAACATCAGAAACCATCTTCGCGTTTCCTAGAGTTCCTGGATTCTTTCCTTTCTGGTGTGATAGTTTCGAAAGCAATTCTTGAATAATCTTTTCTGCTTGAGTGATGACAAAAACACCGGCAGGTTTAAAAGCTTTTACTTCAGCTGGGAGCTTTCTGAAAGCACTGCTTGCCCCACCTCAAGACTAGGTGACAATCGCTCAATTTAGGACTTTCGCAGGCTCCCAGCCGGGTGTCGGATCGCGCCTGCGCGCTGCAGCCCTTTGTTACCGCGCGGGGCTCGCGGTGCGCCTGCGCGGTGGACCGGCACGGACAAGTGTGCTGCACCCCCGGCGCCCGCTGGGGGCGAGCAGACCTTGAGCAGCAGCCGCAGCCGTTGCGACCGTCGCAGCGGGGTTCCAGAGGCCCGGGAGGTGGGAGACTTCCCGCTCGGTAACTGAGATGTCGTCCACCGCAGCCTTTTGCCTTCTCTCTACCGTGGGAGGGTACTTGGTGACCTCATTCTTGTTGCTTAAATACCCGACCTTGCTGCACCAGAAAAAGAAGCAGCGGTTCCTCAGTAAACACATCTCTCACCGCGGAGGTGAGAGGGGTCCCCCGAAGCAGAGGGCGGAGGTGGGGGAGGCTGAACTGCCGAGGAGGACTCAGGAGGCTTCGGCGACCTGCAGAAGGCGGCCGGGTGGAAATAACGTGAGAGTGTGAGGAGGAATGGGGTTGCGCGGGGAGAAGCTCCGCAGCAGAGGCGCGGGGCGGGCGGGGGAGGGAAGGGTCTGCGGCGGCGCTGGGCGGCCGTGTCTGCTGCGGCCGCGTCGGGGCTTCTGCGAGGGGAAGAGCTGGGATGCGAATGAAGGGTAGCCGGGCCGCCTCTCAGCCCGCGGAGGGATGATCGCAGGGAGGGAGCGCCGTGCGGAGCCTGGGGTGCGCGGGGGACCGGGAGCGGACTGCTCCGGGCGAGCCGGCGGCCCGGCGGCGCGGGCAGGCGGGGGAAGAGCTGAGCTCCATCCGCGCGTACCTGGAGGCGCTGCGGCCCTGGTGTCTGCGCTGCGCTGGGGCCGGTCCCACCCTCCCGCTTCCTAATGGAACCCTCGTAATTGGGAAGAGATGGAAACCGAGTCCCCGAGCCGGAGACGTTTTCCAAGGTCACACAGTTAGAGCTTGGGATGCCCTGGAACAGGGAACTGGAGGCCTGCTTACCCGGGTTCCACACCCTGCACCTGTTTTCTGTGTTGTTGTGTTGTGTTTTGTTTTTTGAGCACCTCTCAAAAATACGCGGATTTCCAAAAGAAAATGATTGCGTTGATGGCAGGAAAGTATTCTTTAAAGAAAACAAAGAAATGTTTCTTGCTAGGCGTGGTGGCGCGCGGCTATAATCGCGACAATCGTGGAGGCTGAGGCAGGAGAGCTGCTGTGAGTTCTAGGCCAGCCTGGGCTACATAAGTTCAAGGGCCGCCTGAACTACACAGCGAGACCGTCTCAAAAAATGACAGAAACGTTTCTTTTGGAAAATTTCCTAGCTATAAAGATGCTAAGTAGTTCACCCTTAGATTTCCAAGACAACAGGTCACGTCTTTGTCTCTCATTATAGTGTCACAATTCGACTTCATTATATTTCAAGCGCGATATATAAAATGTTGTGAAATTGAATTGTTTCAATCACCTTTAACTTTTCTCTAGGGATGAATGTAATACCTGTTTAAAATTGCTTGAAATTTACAGTCTAATGGTAAATTGCAGGAATTTACAGTCTAAAACTTGAGTTAGTTTCATAGCCCCTATTATGAAAAGTATTGGGCAGGAAGAAAGGGTTAAATGTCACAGACATGCGCTATATCATTCTCCTGTATAATTTTGTGTTAAACACAGTTCTAATGAATGACTTCAACAGTTAGTTATCCTAGTCTCACCCTTAAAAAGCAGTAAAGGTTCAGAGAGTTGAAAGTTAAATGTCATGTTATTGATGCTAATTTGGCTTATCTGGCCTATTTTATTTGTGGTAGTAGGAATTTAACCCAGGGCCTTCTGAGTGAGATACAGCCTCAGCCCCTTTTTGAGGGAGGGAAGAGGGGCTCTTGCTAAATTCCCAGGCTGGACTCGAACTTGTGGTCCTCCTTGCTTCAGCCTCCCAGACTGCTGGGGTTACAGGTTTGTGCCACCCCACCCTGCTTTATCTGTATTTTAATAGAAACATGATTAAACTAGGATGTTTAACTACTAACCAACCATAGGATGACTAACTACTAACCTTTGGAACCAGGGACCAGCTTTTAGTGTTTAAATTGTTGTCATAGGTGCATGTTTCAGTGGTAGTAAATCCTATTCTGTGGCGAAGCAGAACACAGTGCTGTCATGTTTATTGATTTACAAAAAGTGTGCTTAGGAGAAACCACGAACAAAAACAAAAACACCTTTCTAAGCTGTCATTATGAATTACCCAAATATTATTTAATTTAATTTAATTTATTTATGTATTTATTTTGGTTTTTCTCCGGTACCGGAAATCAAACTCACGACCTTGCGCTTGCCAGGCAGGCGCTGATGCCGCTGAGCTACATCCCCAGCCTCCCAAATATTATTTTAGAAGAAGTACAGGGCCGGGGATGTAGCTCAGCGGCATCAGCGCCTGCCTGGCAAGCCTGAGGTCATGAGTTCTATTCCCAGTAACCCCGCCCGCCAATAAAAGGAAAGAAATACAGGTTAATTGTTGAAATTTTGTGACACTCTGCAAGGGGAAAAAAACATGGTAGACCATAGAGGTTTAAAATGGGTGCTAGAACATCTTAGCAAGTATCAAATTCAGGAACGTGAGGTCTCAAGTCCTCATTTACTGTTGGAAATACTTTCAATATATTTTCTCCCTAGATATTAAGTCATTTTAGTATCATTATGTAGATCACTCATTATATAGAATTTTTATTATTTGTAAATATTGCATCAGTATTTGTATATTCAATAATGCAGCAGCCTTTTGTGGGAATCATGTTAAATATATACAGGCTTAAAATCTGTTTTACCTGTCTGATGTTCCTGTAAAAATGAGTATGGTGGCACATGTCTGTAATCCCAGCACTCTGTCAGCTGAGGCAGGAGGCCTCTGAGTTCAAGGCCAGCCTGGGCTATATAATGAGTTCAAGTCCAGCTTGAACTACACAGTGAGACCCTGTCTCAAAAAACAAAAAAGAAGAACTACAGTAAGTCTTCTTATGTTAGTGCTTAGTCCTTTTTTTAGAGAATCATTTTTATTTAATTTATTTTTTGAGACAGGATCTGAGTTTGTTTTGTTTTGTGGTGTTTTGGTTTTGTCTGTGTTGTTTTTTTTTTGAGACTTAGTCTCCCTATGTAGTTCAAGCTGTTTCTGAACTCACTGTGTAGCCCCAGCTGCCTTCAAACTCATGTTGATCCTCCTGCCTCAGCCTCCTGAATGCTGGGATTATAGGGGTGTGCCACCACACCCAATTTAACACATTCTTAGTGAGTATGCACACCAAATAATAGAGTGATATAGGAGATATTTGCCTAAAAATGCTTGTAACGGAAGAACTAAGTATCTGGAAAATAAAGGACATGAGTAGGAGGTGACTAGGAGTCACCTCTTGATTCCTTGTAGTTTTTATCTTGGATACTGATGATAGCAGTCACTCCTCACTTTGTGCAAATTGCCCACATATGTGCTTATCCTCTGTTGCTCTAACTGCAAATACCTGCTATTGACTATGCCCTTTAAAGTCATATTTTCATGCATTTGAAATCATGTATATACAGAAGTAGGATAGCAGGGAAATAATTGAACCTAACCTCACCTGTCCCTGTGGGCCAGTGTGATCAATCAGCAGGCTTTTTAGAATATAATCTATTTATTAGGGCTCAGTGACCGACGAATAAAAGAGTATCATCAATTGGTGAGATCCCTTCCTTTCTCCCTAATCTTTTAATCTTTGTGTAAAGCCAGGAAACTCACAATCTGGTCATCCTGCCACAGGTTGATTTGGCAGGCAGTGAACCAAACTTTAATTAATTGTGCAAGAAGAAAATGAGACAGGAAAGCCGGGTGTGGTGGCGCATGCCTGTAATCCCAGCACTCAGGAGGCTGAGGCAGGAGGATCATTGCGAGTTCTAGACCAGCCTGGGTTACAAAGTGAGCTCAAGGCCAGCCTGAACTGCATAGTGAGACCCTGTGTCAAAAAAACAAAAAAAGAAAAAAAAGAAAAGAAACAGAAAGAAAGAAAGAAAATGAGACGGGAGTTTGCCTCAAAGTCACTGGAAGTTGCATTCTGCAGTTGCGCTGAAGCATGCTCTGCCTCGAAGTATTGGCTCTCTTCTGCTCTTGTCCCTTCATGCTTAGCGTCCGGGCACTCTTCTCGAGTGTTCTTCCCAGCTAGTTTGTTCATTTCTACTGGCGACAGCACAGTAACTTATCCTTTATTTAATAGTACTATCCTGTTTAGTAAAGCAAACTTAGTAGACTAAAGTGTTACTTTCAGTGATGGCCATAATAAATAATATATCTATATCTATCTGTCTATCTATCTATATATCTTGCTAGGTATGGTGGCACACACTTATAATCGCAGCGCTCAGGAAGCTGATGCAGGAGGATCACTGCAAGTTTTAGGCCAGCCTAGGGCACATAAGTGAGTTTAAGGCCAGCCTGCACTACATGGCAAGACCCTGTCTCACCAAAAAAAAAAAATATATATATATATATATATATATTTTATATTATAAATAAAGGTTATATAAAATAAAGGTTATATAAAAATATATATATATAACAAAAGATATATATATATATATATCCGTATCTTTTGTGTGTGTGTAGTGCTAAAGATTGAAGCTAGAGTCTCGCACATCCTAGACAAGTGCTATTCCACTGAGTTATCTTTCTCTCTCTCTCTCTCTCTCTCTCCCTCTCTCTCCCTCTCCTTGATCAGTTGTCCATGTTGGCCTCAAACTTGTAATCCTCCCACATTAGCCTCTTGAGTAGCTGGGATTACAAGCATGTGCCCCCATGCCCAGCCATGAAAACATTTTTTTTTTTTTTTGAGATAGGGTCATACTGGGAAGCCTAGACTAGCCTGAAATTCTTGATTTTCCTGCTTTACCCTCCCATGCACTGGGATTATAGGCCCTGAGCCACCACATCCGGCTCTTGTTTGTCATCGGTTTTATAAACATCACATGGGGCTGGGGATTTAGCTCAGCGGCAAAAGCGCCTCCCTGGCAAGCGCAAGGTCGTGAGTTCGCTTCCCGGTACCGGAGAAAAAAACCAAAAAATAAATAAATAAATAAATATAAACATCACATGAGCACATATTCACATCATGTATACAAGGATGTAATGATAGTGGTGGTTGGAGGTAACTGTTACAATAAGTCTGTAATATTTATTGACCTTTTATTGGTATATTCAAGGTTTGATAGATAAAAGGAAACCACATATTATTCTTTCCTTTATACCATTTAAGTCTAGTTAAGGAAACAAAGTAGATTGTTTTTCTTATCAGAGATTAACCAATTCCAAAGTAATTATGAAGCACAGTATGAGGGAGAAAAGTTAATATAGAATGAAAAATTGGGAAGCATGTA